AGGAGTAGAGCCTGGGTCTTTTTTCTCTGGATGCAGTTGTCTTAAAATGGAAAGTTAAACTGTTTGGGTACTCAGAGGAAAAGTAATGTCTCTTTCCCAAGAAAAGTGCATGTACATTCTAAATTTTGTATACAGTTTTAGGGGTTTTAAACTCCCTGAAATCTGTACATAAACACCAGGTAAAGAACTCTCTCTTGTAGCTGCTGGTTCATATGTTTGCAGTGTAAGGGGAACAGTGCTCCAGTATTTATTTAAGCAGACTCACGTAGAGAGGCACTGTAGAAGCTGTAGGTCTGTCCTCCCTTGCTCACTCCCACCTTTATGTGTTCTAAATCTTAGACAGTAGGACCACCTTTAGCTAAGTCCAAGACCCTTCCTACTACTGTCTGCAATACCAGTCCCTCCAATCATTTCTTTTTTTTTTTTTCAAAGATTTTATTTATTTATTTGACAGAGAGAGAGAGAGATCACAAGTAGGCAGAGAGGCAGGCAGAGAGGGGGAAGCAGGCTCCCTGCTGAGCAGAGAGCCCAATGTGGGGCTTGATTCCAGGACCCTGAGATCATGACCTGAGCTGAAGGCAGAGGCTTAACCCACTGAGCCACCCAGGCGCCCCTGATTAAGAAATATCTTAAATTGCTAGTAAGTTTGAGCACTTTTTACACCTTTTAATATGTATCTTAGCCATTCTGCATTTCTGTTATGTTCGGATTTCTTTTGGGCTTATTTGACTTTTTCTTATTTATAAGAATACCTTTCTGTATTTCCGTATGTGTTGTTGACACCAGCCCCTTCTGTTGTATGTATGTAAATCTTTTTCATTTGGATAGTTCTGATCCTGGTTTTGATCCTGACTGACTAGCTTTGTGATTTGGCCGGGAATCATTTGACTTCCACAGAGCCGTTGTTGACCAGTGTAGTGAGAACACACCACCTCTTAGTTACTGTGTAATTGCGAATTGCCAGTGTGTATGAGCCCTGTGATTTGTAGGTTCCTCATTTGATTTCCATGAGCCATTTTCTCAGCTGTGAAGTGTGAATACCCTAAGTTTTTAGGTTTATCCTGAAATGCCAGTGAAAGAGCATATAAAAGTGCTTTGAAGAATAAAGAATAACATTTAAAGTGTAAGGCGTTTTGTCCTTTTCTTGGCTTTGTAACAACTCGTCCCTAGGAGTTGGCTTTTGTGAAGCATGCTACATCTTCACAGGTTAATCAGAATCTGAGAGGTGGGTGTCACAGCAGAGCACTTGTTTCTTTTTATTCTACACTCTTTCAGGGCAGGAAAGAGGTGTGTAAACAGATATGTTTACATTGAACTCCTGTGTTCTTGGAAGGTATTGGGTGGGATGGAGGTGGAGAAGAGCGATATCAGGAGACTCGGAGTTCACACCCATAGTGCTGGCTGCAAGGGCTGACACAGTAGAACCCGAACATTTATGGAACCAAATGTCTATAAGGTTAGAATTAGCCGCCCTTTGTTACTGTCACGGTCCACCTCTCAATTAGAACACAGGTTTCAGAGGCAATTGTTCTGCTCCACCACAGTAGGGAAGTATGAGGGTGTAATTTCTGACCCTGGTTATTACCTTTTGGCTGATGACTGCCTTTTCAGACAGATAATTCACTAAAACATGATAACCACCCTTTGCTCTGGGGACACTCAATCTCCGAGACCACCTTAGACCTAGATAACCCTGCGCCCCTGCCCTATGCTGCATGCTTTGGAGGGCCCTTCCTGTAGAGGGCCGTGCCTGTCCCCTTCTGGACGACTCTCCCAAGTACCCAGGACCCAAGAATTACCAGACAGAATGTCTTGAACCTGCTTTCGAGGCCTGCAGAGCCTTTTTCTGAGTCTGTCTTCCCAAAGATGGATCAAGCCATTAGCCTCTCCCCCTGATGTGTGCATTACTAGGTCCCAGGGGTGGCCAAGGGTGACTACTTAGTACACCCACAGCTGAGGTGTACTAGCGTGACATCTGTATACAAGGCTTCTCGAGGTGCAGAACGTGTGTGGGGGAAAGAAAGGAGGTGAATCTGGGGCCAGGGTCTTCCACTTAATACTTTTGCTCCAGCCCTGCAGCTGTTGGAGGCAGGTCTGCCCAGGGAAGCCTCCCTTTTCTGACCATCTGCTTATTTGACGAGTAAAACAAAAACAAAAACAAAAAAACACTGAGAATGTTTTCTTCACCAACCATTTTAGACACTGAGTATAGCTGACTCAACAGAGACCCCAGTTAGTCTCTGAGAATAATTCTCAAAGCAGGGGTATGGGTTGGAATGGGTAAATTTCCTGAAGGGAGAGTACCCGTGCACCTTCTGTCTCTCCCCTGGGCAGGCGCTGCTGATGCTTGGTGAAAAGGAGGGAGGATTCTGCTGACACACTGTATTTTTATAAAAGAAGGCTAAGGTTTCCCTTATCTCTCCACACAAGGCACATCTGCCTGCAAACGTGCTGTCTGCTTCTGAGGGATGCCTTCGTCGTTCTGTTTCTTTTCTGAATGTTTTAAGGCACAGTTTTGGTGCATTCCTTTCTGTTCTCTAGAGCCGGTGGGGGGAAGTCATAATATATCAGGGCTCTTGCTGAAGAGCTTAAAATGGGCGCTGGCAGCTGGGATGTGGGGGAAGAGAGCTTTCCAGAGACAAGTGACCTGCTTGTTCAGCCAATGAGAAGCAGGTTACAGAAGTGATATCACCAGACAGGCTTTATTGTCTGATCATCTCATAAAAGCAGGATTGTGTCTGGCAACTTAACCCTTTTTTAGGTACATCAGGTCTCACCCACTCTCTGGTATGTGACCTCCAGATTCTTTTTCCCAGCTGTCTGCTATGAGATCACAGAGATTAAAGATTTAAATTGGTGATGAAATTTGGAGAGTTGTAAACCACTATTTTAAAACTACAAACTATTAAAATTTAGAACCCCAGCTAGAATGGGAATGTCAGCTATGCTGTGTTTGGAGAGCATATCTAAAGCAGATACCCATCTAGTCATGTTACACCAGGCTTTTGCTGGATAGACTTGGGAGAGAAAGGGAGTTAGAGGGAAAACGAGACTGAGCCTTTAGTCTATTTTAATCTACATAAAGGGTCTTAGTAAGAATTTCCTGTTTTAGAGGAATTGGAATTGGTTCTGCAAATTTGGAAAATCGTATTGATTCTGAGACCAATTTTGAGTAACACATATTTGTAGTGTTTGTTTATATTGTACCTGTTGATTATCCTTTCCCCCATAAAAATGTCAGTCATTTTACTTCTTTGTGCTTCCATATCATCATTGGTAAGATGCAGGTGATGATCCTACCAGATCCTACACAGGAGTAGAGATAAGAAAATAAACTAATTTATATGATTTTGGAATGTCTACATATATGTATCCTAATTAGGTCATTCATGTCTTAAGATTGTGTATTCGTTCATTCATTTGTTCAGCCGGCTTTTTCAAAACCTTCTTGATGCTGGGCACAGATACAGAGATAGAAGCTGTAGTTCTTACTCTTAAGGAGTTTAAAACATTTTGAGGCAGATAGACAATAATAAAAATGTCTCAGGAATCTGTTGCATATACCGTGTTCCAGGTCCTTTTCTAAGCACCTTAACGTGTATTAGTTCATTTAATCTTACCATAACACTGTGAAGTAAGTACTGTTATTAGCTTCGTATTACAGATAAAGAAATAGAAGCAGAGAGAGGCGAAGTGACTTGCCTAAGTTCACGTGACCAGTGGTAGAGTTGAGACTTGAATCCAGGCTGTGTGGCTCTAGAGTGTGTTCTCTGAATCTCTCTTTACCAGTGCAGTAGTTACTAGCTGTATATAGCTTTGGAGGACTTGAAATGTGGTTTGTCTAAACTGAATAGTGTATATGTGAAATACACACTGGATTTCAAAGACTTAGTATGAAAAATGTATCTAATGTCTCATGTTGAAATCACATGTTGCAGAGATAATATTTTAGATATACTGAGTTAAGTAAAATCTATTAGAATTAGTTTCACTTTATTTTTGTGGCTACTTAAAATTACCTGTGTGGCTTGGATTTGTGGCTTACATTTCTCTTGGACTGTTCTACTCTAAATTGTTATAATACAGGGGTACCTGGGTGGCTCAGTCAGTTAAGGGTCTGCCTTCTTCGGCTCAGGTCATGATCCCAGGATCCTGGGATTGACCCTGCATCAGGCTCCCTGCTTGGTGAGGAGTGTACTTCTCCCTCTCTCTCGGTTGCTCCTCCTGCTTGCGCACACACGTGTTCTGTTTCAAATAAATAAATAAAATCTTAAAAAAAATAAATCATTGTAATGCAATAATTATAAGAGGAGACATTTGTTGAGCACTTCCTATGTGCCACATACTGGGCAATACCTTGACACTGTTCCAGTTAAGCCTCAAAATAACCCTATTTATTATTCACATTTTATAGAAGGGACAGGAGGTTTGGAGAAAGTCTGTAATTTACCTAAGGTTAATCCACTAGTAAATGACAGATCCCAGATTTGAAACCTTGTATGTCTGACTCAAAAACCTGTACTCAACCAGTACACTACACTGTAATACCATTTCCAATGAAATCTTTCATTTTCTTTGTTTTTATTTCTATAAGAATGTTTAATACTGCATACTTCTGTATTTGGTATGTAGAAGTTTACGTTAAAAATCACTAGGTCATAAAATGGACATCCTAGATCGAAATCTCTTCTCAGAGCCTCGGCCCTCAGTGAACGGTCAGCAGTGAACAGTTGAACCCTGAGATGAAGCAGTGAGTCAGCCTGTGCAGATGGCATCTAATTTTCATTCAAGTAGTTCTCTCAGGTCACTGGGCAATTTATGCCCCGACCCTCTTTGTCCAGTAGAGCGAGGAAGAGGGGCAGTGCAGCTTTCCTCAGTCATTTAGTTCTTTTGGCTAATAAGAAGAAAAAATTGCTTTTCATTTCATTGTCCCATGAAATGCTGTTTGTGTTTGAGAGAGCATCAAAATGCTAACGATCCCTGTCTTTTCTTTCTTTCAGAGCAAAGACTCAGGCGGACTGAAGGCAGCTATGATAGAGTTGGTGGAAAGGTTGAAGTTCAAGAGCTCAGATCCTAAGGCAAGTATTGTTTTGGAATTGATTGGGTATCATGTTTCGTTCTCCTTGAGCTAGGTTTGAGGGATATTAGTGATCATCTATCTGAACATCACATCGAGATCTAATAAAGCCTACCTGTTCAGAAGCCATGTTTTAATATGCCTGGAGATAAGTCATCTGTTTTTTCCCTTCTCTATGACTTACAACGTATAATCATTGTTTTCCCTGAACTGCGGACAAGTGCATTTTTAATCCTCCTGTACCGGGCCTTTGAGACTACTGTCTTCTGGGTCCATTAAACTCAGTCAAAGGCATCCATGGTACTGACCATCTTAATGGGGACTGGAACAGGCTCCAGACCCATCCAGTTGGTGTTCAGCACTAGTGTCTTGTCTCTCTCCTACTTACAGGAACCAGTGGCCACTGTGAATGCTTTTGTCCTCATGACCTGGAGTGTGGTCTGGGAAATGGTTTCAGCTTCCTGGCTTTCTTCGAAATATGTTGGGAGCTATAAGACTGATATTCTGGGAGACTCCATACCAGGGTGGGGGTGGTCTGGGATCAGAACATAACACAGCTTCCCTTCTCCTACCCAGAGACCTCCTGTAGCACTACTGGGTATTGGTCCCAGCTGGCTCTGCCTGAGAGTCAAAGCCTCTCACAATCAGATAGGGAAAGGAGCACAAATTTGTTTGACTTTTTGTATTCCCACCCCCCCTTTTTTTAATTTAAAGTCCTTTATATTGGGAAAAGACTAGCATTTCTTGAGTACTCACTGAGAGCCAGACACTGTGCTAGGAGCCTTACATATCTTTTTTAAAAATTGTGGTAAAATATACATAATGAAATTTACCACTTTAACCATTTTTTTTAAAAGATTTTATTTATTTATTTGACAGAGATCACAAGTAGGCAGAGAGGCAGGCAGAGAGAGAGGAGGAAGCAGGCTCCCCGCCGAGCAGAGAGCCTGATGCGGGGCTTGATCCCAGGACACTGGGATCATGACCTGAGCCGAAGGCAGAGGCTTTAACCCACTGAGCCACCCAGGCGCCCCTTATTTTTATTTTTAAAGATTTTATTTATTTATTTGACACAAAGAGATAGATAGATCACAAGTAGGCAGAGAGACAGGCCGGGGGCGGGGGGGATCTGCTGTTTGCATTGGCCGGGAATTGAACCCCAGCCTCCCGCGTGGCAGGCGAGAATTCTGCCATTGAACCACCAATGCTAACCATTTTTAAATGTGTAGTTCAGTGGCATTAAGTATTCGTATTGTGTCCAGCCATCATCACCACCTCCATCCATCTCCAGAACTTTTTCAGTCATTCCAAACTGAAACTCTCTACCCACTAACTTCTTTTCCCCCCTCTGCTCTTACATACTTATGATTTTTTGTAACAACCTGGTAGAGTAGCTTATTATTCCCATTTTATTGATAAGGACATGGAGGCTTAGAGAGGTAGGGCCATTTGCCTTGACTGTAGTATAATTTAGGGCTGGGATTCAAATTGACTTCACTCCCTGTGCTCTTTCTTTTATGTCACATTGCAGACCAAGCATTGGTGTTCATCTCCTTTCTACCATCTAATCACCTTGTGCCCCAATTTTCTAATCTGAAGCACTTTTGAGGCAGACTAACGATGATAGGCTTTACAAAAGGTGGCTTCAGTCTTCATTCTACAAAATAACTTTCTCTCCATACAGCATTGAAAGCATTGGGACATTGGTCATATCTCTTGTCTTCTGGTGTAGTTAGAACTCCAGAGATAGAGAGTATCTTGATAGAAAAAAATTGGTGTAACCTTTATCAATTTTCTTAGCTCAAAGTAAAGATTCCTGGTATAAGTAGTTTTCCTTTAGTGAAGATGAACTAGTTAATTATTAAGGATTACTGAAAGCTTTTTTTTTTTTTTTAACTGAGTTTTTCTGGTTTCTGGGGCAAAACAGCTATCCTGAAGGAGACAACTGTATTTTCTGTTTCTGCCCCACCCATATGCTTGTAGGCAGTGAAGAGCAAGAGGATGTATACAGATTACACTGAGTGGCTTCTGTGCATGATGATAATACAGGTAAAGTGCTTCGGGGTCCTTTATGAATGCATAGAATGCTTCTAATAGGAAACTTGCCAGAGGTGAAAAAATTGAATGATCCCATGAGAACAGCTCGTTGAAGCCTCAAGATTTTCCCATGGTACATCATGAGCTAAAGAATATTTCTTAGGACCAGACTTGATCTTAGATATGTACATACACACTCACCTCTTTTCTCTTCTCTTTATCTTGTTCTGGAATATTTCTACCAGTCTCCTTTATTTTCAGACCCCGTTCTGGTCTGCCATATGCATATACTGTATACCTGGAGCCAGGTTGAGGAAGGACTAAGGTAATTGCAGAATGACTGCAAGATCACAAACAGAGCTGGGGAGTGGGGTGGTGGAAAATGGGACACTCTATACATAATTTTTGCAACAAATAATTGTCTTCCAAGGGAAGTTTTTAATCTGTTCTGCTTTCCCTCAGAACTCTACCATCTCTTTGTTAAGTTGGCCTATTTAAGATGGGCAGAATCTCTCAGGCTTTATGACCTGTCATTTCCAGACACAGGAGCTTTTCATAGAAACACTGATTTGAGTCATGAAGCACTGAGCACTATCTCTGCCTCACTTCCTCTAGAATTCCCTAAAGCATCACAAAACTTCATTAGTCCAGACACTGAAATCTATTGGGGACTGAGTTAATGTTTACCTCCGAGTTTTGTCAGAGAGGAGTGGAAGATGACTAGATTAACCATTTTTTAAAATTAGGAAATAATATATGCTTATAGATTAGAAAATACAGATATCCATAAAGGAAAAGTCAAATGACTTTTCCCCAAGCTAACCACTATTAACAATTCGGTGTGTAACCTTCTAGACATTTTTCCATGTGGAAATATACTTCTAAGATATTTTACAAGAATTATACTGCACTTATGGTTTTAGTACATAGAATATTTTGGACATTCTTCTCTGTCATTGATTATTAATTTTTCTTAATGAGAAGCCTCATTTTGTCCAAAATATTTGTCAGATGCCCTTTTTTCTTCCAGACCAGTTGTTCTTAACCTTTAATGTTCATAAAAATCACCTGGAGGACCTCCAAACTGCAGAGTGCTGGGCCCACCCCTGCAGTTGCTGATTCAGTGGGTCTGGCGTGACTAGAGGCTGTGCTGACCCTGGTGATCTGGTGATGTTCCTTCTCTTTTATTTTGATTTTTTTTTTTCATTCCTTTCAGTAAATAATCAGAAGAGCCCTTGTAAATAAGTCTAGAAGGAGCAGGGGAGAGGAAAGGTATCCTGAGGCTGCCTCAGAGGCAGGGTTCCTGCAAGGCCCAAGAGAGTGAGAGGAGTTCTAGTCGGGATTTACGAGGATGATCAAGGCTCATGCTATGGGACAGGAGTGGGTTGAATTATAAAACCAGAGGAATAGCAGGAGACACCAAATCCCAGCCACTAGGGGTGAGCCTGAGAACAGGAACAGAGCCAGTGGTGGCTGGGAAATAAGGCACAGGTTAAGTTGTGTACATGCAGGTTGCTATGGTGAGCCCTGTTTTAAAGGATACATATCTCCAGGGATCTAGAACTTTCTATATAACGGAGAGAGTATTTTTTTAAAGATTATTTATTTATTTATTTGACAGAGAGAGAGAGGGAGATCACAAGTAGGCAGAGAGGCAGGCAGAGAGACCGGGGGAAGCAGGCTCCCTGCTGAGCAGAGAGCCTGGTGCGGGGCTCAATCCTAGGAACCTGAGATCATGAACTGAGCTGAAGGCAGAGGCTTAACCCACTGAGCCACCCAGGCGCTCCTGGAGAGAGTATTTTTAATACCAATCTTTAGTTTATTTAATTGAAAGTCTTTTAAATAATAAGGCATCCCAATGTGTGTGATATGGTCCAGTTTATAAACACATTTTTTTTCGGTCATACTTTTCAGAAACATTTATTGTGCCAAGTAGGGTTTTTGTTTGTAGATTTCTTATATTTATGCTAGACTTTAGGAAAATTAAAAGATGTAGTTAATCAGGTATGTGTGTATGCATATCTGTGTCCATTCCTGGGATTTTTAAGAAATTGAAGGTATTCTGGGTTATTTACAACTCTCCTGTGAAGTGACTGTGCAGTTATCTTTCTTAGTATACCCAGAGGAAACTGAGGCTCAGAAAGCACATTGATTTCTTTCCCTTCCTTCCCCTTGCCAAGCCTCTCAGAAAGCATTGAACCAAAAACATAACATGCTAAACTCAATCCAACTAATGTCTCATTATGCAGTTAATAACAGCCACTCTCTCTATTAGTATTGATTCCATCTAACATGTGCTGTTCCTTGTTTCCTATGGCTTATGTGCTCGAAACGAACAGAAACACAGCTGTGTATCATGAAATCATACTAATGTTACGAGAAGTTATTCTCAAGAAAAGTACCTTAAACTCAAGTCAAGTGGCTCATAGTATTCTCTCAGATTGGAGTGGGATTGAAGATGGGACTTAGCCATACTAATACTGCCTAAAACATATCAAGGTTTGTTTTTTTGTTCCAGTATCCGGTTTCTAAAGGTGTTCTTACTTAAGTTTAAAACAGGAGAGTTGTCTAACAACATGAAATTAAATAGATCTGAGAATTGTTTTATTTTTATTTAGCATTTACATAGCATTTTATAACTGCAAAAGAACTTTACAGCCCATTTTAGTAGCTGATATCATTGACATGGAACATAGCCCAGTCCTTCACTCTCCTGTGCTAATCAGACTCTTGTTAAAATGATAGGTTTTAGGGTACCTGGGTGGCTCAGTCAGTTAACTGTGTACCTTTGGCTCAGGTCATCGTCGGGGTTCTGGAATCAAGCCCTGTGTCAGCCTCCCCACTCAGCGGGGAGTTGGCTTCTCCCTTTGCCCCTCTCCCTGCTTGTGTTTTCTCTCTCTCTCTTAAATAAAATGAATAAAATCTTAAAAAAAAGAAAATCTTTAAAAAAATAGTAAAACTTTTATAAAAAGACTCATTAAAAAATGATAAGTTTTGCATGTACAAAGAGTAATGAGATATAAGCAAAACCTATTTGAATTCTTGTTGTTAGTGTCCTGTTGTTTCCCAGGGGGAAGCCAGGCCTCATGCTGTCCTTGCCTTGCCCCAGGACAGAAGTGTTCTCTAGGACAGTGTTTAAGCACCCAACTGAAGCAGAGAATTGAGCTGCTTCAGTTATCAAGTTGATTCATTTAAAAGTGTTCCTTTGGTTAGTAAGTTATTAGAATTATTGGCCTATTTATATACTTTTCCTAAAAAAAGAAGTTGTAATAGCATTCTTTAAGGGCGTGCATAGTGTTTTGTTTTATCTCTGTGCCCTCAAGCTCTAGTCTGGTGGGTACTAGGTGATGTAATAGTAATAGATATGCATGGTAATAGATGCGCATTATCCAGTACAGTAACACTGTGAAAGGAAATATTATTTGTCCTGTTTTGTGGAGGAGCAATCCAAGGTTTAGAGGGGTTAAAGAGCTTGCTGGTAAGTGATGGGACTAGGACTTCACATGTGTCATACTTCCCGTTCTTTCCCTGCCCACGATTGTTGAACCCATGGATGAGTAAATATAGAGGTATGTGCTGCCCTCCTTAGCAGTATGACTTCACTGACTATTTTTCCCTCACATTCTCCTTCTACCTGCCTTTACTGGATACTGCAGCCCGCAGTCCCAGGGTCCAGGACCGGAGAATGGCCTTTTCCGACAGACAGTATGGGGAGATGGGGAGAGCCGTGACAGCCGAGAGCATTTAGCACCGGCTAAATGAAGAACCGAGGCTAGTGCTTCGGTAGTTTCCCGTTAGTGATAGAAGACACCAGATGGGAAAGTACCTGTGGTGTCTCAGGCCCGAGCCGTGCTCTGAGGCATGGTATCCGCCAAGGACCAGATGTGGCCCCTTCTCATCCTCTGTAGACACTTGGGCAGTAGAAAGAGGAGAAACAAGCTCTTTGCCCTCCTTTACCATCTCCCTGCCTTTATGAAAACAAAATGAAACAACTTCCTGTTTTCCCCATCCCCCAATTATAAAAGTAATACATGCCATCTGTAGAAAACTGTGGGACAAACAGACATGTATATAGAAGAAGAAAAGAAATCTGCTACCTGCAGTCATTTGTAAACTTTGAGTACCTCTTTTTTCAATTTAATTTAATCTTATTTAAATTTAATTAATTAACATATGGTGTGTTATGAGTTTCAGAGGGAGAGTTCAGTGATCCATTAGTTGTATATAGTACCCAGTGCTCATTCCATCATGTGCCCTCCGCAGTGCCCATCACCCAGTTACCCCATCCCCCACCCACCTCCCCTCCAGCAACCCTCAGTTGGTTTCCTGTAGTTAAGTCTCTTATAGTTTGTCTCCCTCTCTGATTTCGTCTTACTTTATTTTTCCCTTCTTTCCCCTAAGACCCTCTATTTTGTGTCTTAAATTCCACCTATGAGTAAGATCATATGATGATTATCTTTTTCTGACTTACTTCGCTTAGCATAATACCTTCTAGTTCCATCCACATGAGTACCTCTTTTTTTAAATGCAGATTCTTGAGCCTCACCCAGAACATCTAATTTGGTAGTTCTGAGACTGCTTTTTTAGTATACAGCCTTGATGATTCTAATGCACATGGTCAATGCATCACACTTTAAGATACATCTATGAGAAAACTGGTTAATATCATGGTGCTTTGCCTTTCAAATAGAGAATTAGTATTCTCTCTCTAGATAATTATTGTTCTATGTGTGTAAGTATATATACAATTGGATAACTGTATGTATTTTTGTGTGTATAGACATGCATACATAGTTTGTATCCTGCTTTTTTTCACCTGACGTCATCCCTTATAAACATTTTTATCATTTGAATACACTTCAGTCTTTGAACTGCCCCTTGGAAAACTAAAATCCTGAAGGCCAGTCTGCTGTTATTACCAAATGGCAGTTTTACCCAATATGGCATTTCTGTTTTCTTCCTAATAGCATAAGCACACTCTGGAGTTTTTTTTCCTCAGACATGCCTGTCAT